CGGGAAATTGGGGTTTTGTTTCTCTAAGCTGTTAGAACGAGGAGGTGCGGGCCACCGACCGGGTGGTCCGGCGGCGTGTGCTGGTCCGGCCTTCGGGCCTGAGCCCTGGAGGTGGGCATCGCCTGTGCAGCCACAAACTGCTCACTTGTGACTGAAAACACCAGGAATGGAGAACAGCTGAGTACACAGCCCAACTGTCTTGGGGTTTTTTCTTAAATATGGGCAGGTACTGAAAAACGAATGAGAACCTACTCTGTTTAAAAAACAGTTCATTTTGACAACTTTTTTCCTCTCCCAAAGACATCGTTTACACTGTTACTATTAGAGAGAAAGTCCTGTTCAACGCTACTGTTAACTTTTTTTCCTCTCCCCCTATAAAGGAAGGTTTTCTCCTTGGAGATGTGAAAGGTGAAGCCAAGAACAGCATTACTGACTCACAAATGGATGATGTTGAAGTCGTTTATACAATCGGTTAGTCTGTTCACATTTTTAATACCATGCTTGGTTTCAGGCAATATACAACTGCTTACAGTTTTGAATGAAGGCAGTCAACACCTTAGAGCAAGAGCAAAGCTGCTAGATCCTAGGGTCCACCTTGATGTAAAAAAACCACATGGGTTATTTTGTAACATTTTAATTGCTAAAAAAATTTACAATTTTACTGTAGAAAATATAATAATTTAATGGAAATACTACTTCTTAGATTACTTGAATAGCTTGTCTTTGCCAAATATCTTGTCACATTAAAGGTAATTTATGGCTTAGACTCCTTTGTCTTGGCCACATCACAAACTCTCTTAGACTACAGTTGCCCTGGAAAAACTTGGCCTATTTCAGTGACGTGAAATGTAATGTGTTAGTATCTATTACCTAATTTGGAGCTTATAAAATACCATGTGTGAAGGCTTCAAACTATTTATGTATTTCATTGAGCAGATGCCAGATGTATTTTTCTTTATAGTCTTCATGGGATTGGAGTGGATGTACATTTTGTACTAGCCCTTAACAAAGACATGTGTGCATGTGCACACACATGTAACCCCATTCCTTTAAAATGCAATTATACAAAAAGAAAGAGGGCAAGGTCATACAGTATGTACCTTCTTTCCAGCTTCTTGAAAATATGGTAGGGAGAAATTGCATCCCACTTTCTAGTTTTACTCTAGGATACAATTAAGGTGTAACACTTTCCTCCACCAAGTCTCACAGCTGAACCAAAAATGTGGGGAATTTTTTGTGGTGACATTGATCAAGTTTCTCAGTCTCATCATCACACTCTCATAGGCAGAGATAGTTGCTCCAAAATTTGTTGTTTTGTTGGATTTTGTTTTGTTTTTTTAAGTTCACTCTGAAAACGAAAGTAGTGGAGAATTTAGGAAAAGGAAAGGATTTAAAATGCTATTAGATCACTTACTGTTTTTTTTTCTGGTAGTCAGTCTTCCAGTTATCATCTGCCCTATGGGTTTCTGTTCTCCAGCCTCCTCTTTCTTACTAACAGCATCCACGCCTTGCTGCAGAGTAACTCAAGTGAAATCTTTCATACTAAATACTACCCCCTGTACTCAACAGGAGGGAAGGAAAAAAGAGTGCCCAATTTGATTTCTCACTTGAGAAAACAGAAAAATGTAAGAAAAATACAGTTTATATAAGTGGTTCCCTTTACATTTGAGAAATTATTAGACTATTTTTAAAAAATATTGCCTTTCTTAACCTTATTTAACTAGATGTTAATGCATTTGATTTTAAGAAATTATATTATATGGAATTCTTTCTTGGTTCTTCTACCAGTTTAATTCTGATCAGAGCATACAGAAGAATATACATCTTGAACAAACGAACCCAGAGTAATATTACCTTCTCTTTCCAGATATACAGAAGCATATTCCATGCTACCAGTTGTTCAGGTAAGAATCTTAAGTAAACAGATATGAAAAAGTTAGAATTAACCCTAACTTAAACTCTTTGAGAGTTAAACTTATATTACTGAGAAAATCACCAGGCTGTAACTACAGTAGCCATAGCAACCCCTTGGAATTACAGATGCAGAATGCCTTATATTCCTATTTTGGTTCTTCATGTCCTTTTTTGGTGTTTGTCTATGCATATAGATATATGGCATACTGCACCTTCTGGTGAGCTATGATACCACATAAACTACAGAATAATGTCAGCATGCTGAGAAAAAACGTCAACATTGCTTTTCTAAAAAGCATACGTCCCAACTCCTCACCCTCAAAAAAGAAATAGAAAGGTGTCATCCGCTATAGGCTTCTAAGTGGGTCAGAAGAATAAACACTTGTTAGCCCCGTGGCCAGAGTAGTTTCAAGGACTAGTATTGAGAGTTCCATCATAGATGGAAACACAGCTGTGCAGGTTTGCACCCCCAAAAGGGGAGAATTGCAACACATTTTCCTTCTCAAATCTTTCTGAAAATTAATAAACCCAGATGTTATTAGAAAGGCATTTCATATCAAATTGAAGGCATCTTATTATTTTGTAGTTGAGAGAACCACAGATGCTGCCTTTAACTTGTCCCGGTAGCACTGATGCCAGAAGAGCATCTGGGCTGTACAAGACCACCTACTATTTGAGTAATGAAATTAACTGCACTGTCCTAGCAGAGCAGCTGTGTCAGCATATCTTTATGCCTACCAGGGGAAAAAAAAAAAAAGAGCTGTTAAAGTGAGATGACTGCCAGGGAATAATTATTTCTATATAGCTTTTTTTTTTCCTTCCTCTAATTGTCCTAATTTTCTTCTAGCTTTTATAATTCTGCAGGAGAACTGAATGAACTTGCCCTGAAGAAAATACTGTCAGGCTGTAAGAAGGTATTTTATTTTCAAACCTAAACCATACCAAGGAGCTTGCTCAGATTTTGGGGGCTGTTCTGGATATCTCTTGTATCACGCTTTTTTTTCCCCTCTCCTCCTTTTTAAAATCTTGTCTCTAGTTCCTTACACTGCTGGTCAAGGCAGCTGCATCATCTTTTCCCCCTGAAAGAACAGCTTCGGTTAATTTTGACTATGGTTTGCCTACATGTATGTCACAACTTTATTTTTTCTTATTTATTTCTCAAGCAAACAGTTCAGATATCCCAAGGGAAGTCTACTGATTTCTAGCTTAAGATCAGTTGAGATCAGCTCACTCAAGTGGTTAAGTGCCACTTGACCAAAAAAATTTAGTCTTCTCCACAGAAGAAAGTTTCATGAAAGTAGAAGCTGGAAAGAGACAAACAGCAAAATAGGAGAACCAAGTTTGCAGAGTTTCAGCTTGAGCACAACCTCAGAAGACAGGCCAGTTCAACACATGGTTTTGAAGGAAGGAGAGAAGTTGTCATACTGGAATTAGGCTTAGGTGTTTTAAGGGTTTCAAGTTAACTGCTTGGATATGTACACATCACTGAACAATTCCGATTCATGACTTTGTAGCAAATCCTCTAACTTGCTTCAACATGACACACAGGTACAGCATGACTCAACAGTAATAATGAATTTTCTTCTGCCTGCAGAGTGTAATAGGATGGTACAAATTCAGACGTAACACAGACCAGACCATGACATTCCGGGAGAGACTTCTTCATAAGAATTTACAGTCACACCTATCAAATCAGGGCCTTGTATTCCTTTTATTAACCTCCAGCGTGATGACAGAAAGTTGTTCTACTTACAGACTGGAACACGCCTTACATCGGCCGCAAGAAGGGTAACTGGTTTGTTCTCTAGTTCTAATACAGCAGTAGCACAGCATGTGCTATAGCTTGGAACAGTTTGGGTTTTAGTTTGTTGCAACTGAATTATTAACACTGTTTATTTTACCCTTGAGACTTACACATTAAATAAAATTATTCCTTATATTGCTAGAGCCTACTGAAATCTTACCCTGGAGTTCTGTTCAGGGATTTGCCTTCATAACTATCTGTAGTGCCAGGGTCAACAGGCAGACGCCGTAGTTCATTTATGCACATAACCTGTTCTTGATCAGTTTGGTTTTGTGTATAGGACTTCCAGCTATGCATGGTGTTCATCTTCAGGTATCACTGAAATATTTAAATTGGTGGTAGTTTTCTGTTATCTTCAGAGATATGCTGCCCATAGGCTAGGCTTATCAAGTATTGCATTATTGTGTGACTCATAGCCAGAAACAGGAGAAAAAAAGTAGAGACATTGCTCAGAGTCTTGTTGCTCTTGCAGTTTGCCTTAGGCAGTCATCTGTGTGTGATGCGATACATTTAGCAAGAGCTAGTTGTCCTGTAAACCTCCTGTCTGGGATGCTTAATGGTCAAGAACCTTCAGCTATCAAAGAGAGGCCTTTGGATGTTAATAAATCATGTTCTCGTACTTCTGCTTTCTTAAGTCTTTTCCAGAAAGTTCCTTTGGTGGTTACCAACTTGGGTATGGCTGAACAGCAGGGTTACAGAACAGTGTCTGGTTCCTGCGTATCTTCTGGTTTTGTGAGAGCAGTAAGACAACACAGGTACAATATATGCCATATTTACTGATATCTAAAGATAAGTATAGTTATCTTTTTATAGAAGTATTTTTTAAATGCTACAGCCATACCCTGCTCACTTGTTGACCTGTTGCCTGCAATTCTTTACCTTTCCAAAGAACTTGGAAATTAGCTAAATCCCATACTTTGCCATGAGAGCAGCTGTCTCTCTCAACATAGGCACCTAGTGTTGAAGCTCAAAATGCTTCTTTATTCATTTTAGCTCCTACTAAGTAAGCACTGGCATCATTAACTTGCAATTATATTCTTGGTCTGCAGGTCAGAATTCTTTTATGAAGATGGATCCTTACAAGAGGTTCATAAGATAAATGAGATGTATGCCACCTTGCAGGAGGAACTGAAGGTAAGTGAGGCATACCTGCTGATACGGTTACTTTCAGCAGTGCTACAAAACCAAGTCAAGCCAAGGGTACACCATCTTGCACTAAACGAGAAACAAAGCTGTGTCTCGGAAGCACCTATTGCACGATCAGGGAGTTCCATTTACTGTTAGTAGCTGCACACTAAGTTCTCAAAGTTGAAGACTTAAGCTTCCGTTTGATCAAAAGTCCACTGATAAATTCTCACAAGAGGAATATTTTGAAGGAGCATTATCTGTGGTTTAGATGGGAACAAGTAAAACCTCTTGCACCTCGTTCACTACAAGGTTTAAGTCATCATCTCTAAAACCCACCTCAAGCTCATTACTTAAGCTTTTTAATACTTTGCGTCCAACTTTTAAAATCATAAGTACCTTTAAAGATTTTGCAACAAGGTTAAAGTCGGCTTCTGTGAATACTGTTTATTCCATCAAATGCTCTTTTCCTTGCAGAAAATATGCTCTACAGTAGAAGCCAGTGAACGATCTGTAGAGAAACTCTTAGCAGAGGTGACCCAATTAAAAGAAGAAATAAAGAGGAAAAAGCAACAAAGTTGTTCAGGTAAGTTAAATAAATACACGCCAGTCTTAGTAAGACTTCCAAAGCTGATTCAATTGGCAGAACCACAAAACCCTCCTGAACTTGAGGCAGCCGAAGTGTGCAAGAGGGACTGCAAGGCTACCTGTTTGTTTTTTTCCAGGAGAAGACAGAGACTACCCAGGAGAGCCAAAGGAGAATGTTCTCCTTTGTCAGGCACTGCAGACATTTTTCCCCAATTCTGGACTTCAGACATGTATCATTTCCTTCAAAGGCCGACAGATAACCAAGAACTGCTGTAACATTGACCACAGTATTAATGTCATGGACAAACTGACTCTCATGGTAGAGGAAAGAGACTTCCCTGAAGCTGAAACAAGACACCTAACCAAGCGTAAGGTCAGAGGGACCACAACAGGATCAAAGTCATTCAAGAAATCCAGATCGCTGCAGCTTCACCAAAAATTACTTCGAGACCAAGAGGACAGTGACCAGGAAAGGAAGCTTACGCTGAGCAGCACTGAAACAGATGAGGACGTGTTGGAAAAAATTAGAGACACAAATGAATACCCACACTCTCCTACTTTCTGATCTGTTCATGGTTTGTCCAGATGACTTTGCACCAAAAGCTACTGCCAGCATATTCAAGTGACATACCAATTTATAGCACTGCAGGGATAAAAAAAAGGCGCATTTTTGCAAGACATATAGGTTTGGGTTTGGGTTTTTTTTTTCACCCTTCCCCCCACAATGCTCAAATCCTGTTTGACACACAGACAAGTCCAGATGACATTCCCTCACTTTGCCTTCCAGAATTAAATCTGTATTCACTCTCTCAGGGTTTAAAGACTGTGCTAGCAGGATGTCAACGGTCATATAACCACGTCACATACTGCCTCAGAGTAATACAATTCCAAGCTGCTGTTGAAGAAGCAGTACTACCCATCCCTCAGCAGAACCTGAAGCAGGGAGCATCAAATGAACACAGGTAACATACTTAAAATTAGCTGTCTACACATATTGCCACAATTTAAATAATTTATTCTTAGCTATCCACTACTTGTTTATTTTCTTCCCCCCTTCCAAGCCAGCAAGGGAAAAACAGCCACCTGAACTTTAGCAAGACCTGTGAGCAGAGGAAGTGGCCCATACAGTTGCTGATTTCTACTATTGCTTTCATCTTTCATACTTCCTTCAGACTATTTGAGACTTGACACTTCATAAAAAAGCAACCGACATCCACCCTGCAGTCAGTGACACATCATGCTAGCCAACCACATTGCCAGTAAACAAGTATATAAACATGAAAAGTAGTTTTATTCTTTATTTCTTTGTATTACTCCGGATACTTGACATTACATATCTTGGGATCTGTGAGAAATGATGGGTTCTTAAACATAACTGGCATAAATCCTGTGAAAAGATAAGATGGGAGGGTTTTTTAATAGGAAAGTAGGCTCGAATTACAAAACTCAAAAGCATAATCATACTTACCAAGTACGTGAGCTCTTTTAATGGCTTTTGTAATCTCCTTCTGCTTCTTGTTGCACAAGCCTAAAGGGAGAAATCATTTTCAATCTCTTAAATCAACAAGAACCAAACCATTAGTTTAAAGGGTGAAAGTGATACTACTGACAATTTCCTCTAGCTTTGTCCAAATCTTCCTTGAAAAATGCATTTGTGCTTATACTTCTAAATAGAAAATAATACTGTATTTGAGGGATATTTTCATCCCTTGATGAAGGCTACTAAGTCAGAGGAATACTACTACAAAGTGTATAGAGTTGGCAGTAGTTACTTTTGGAAAGACAGCTGATATACAGTTACTTGGACTCACAAGAACATTAATATTAAGCAGTAAATAATTTTTTTTTTTAATACTTCACATACCTGTTATATGCCTGCCATAAATGCAGCCAGTATGCGGAGAAACAAACTGGGAAAGAAGCTAAAATCAAGAAATCCAGAGTGAATTTATGAATTTTTTCTAGAAACCTTTCATTTTAATACTTGCATTCTATTTTTTTTTTTTTGATCTGTCTACCTGGAGACAAGAAAAAAGTATAGCTTAGATAGTATTTTATATGCCATAACATTCAAGCTATGACAGTAGAATTAGAATTGAGGACTCTTTGGTAAATAACAAATTTCATTTTTTATCCTTCCGGACTTCCCACATGCACATTTAAAAATAGTAAACCAGCTACTTTCATCTAAGCACAGGAGTTTACAAACTCACCTGCACATTCTTGTAGTCCACCTTTATTCCACACAAGACACATTTTTTAGGAGGCTCTTTATAGGGGTTCTCCATTTGTATGGGCTGAAATTAGAGAAGTATTAACATCTGTAAGACTCACCAAAAATAAGCCAAAACCAAAAGAGGTATTTAGTGCATTATTGAAGTTTCTCAGTTAGTTTCTTAGCTCTGTTTCTCTAACACACTGATTTGTACCTGGCAACCTAAAAGGCTTCTCACAGCCATGCAGCCTTTTGTGTCTTAGCAATAACAACAGTGTAACAAGTCAATTAAAGCAATCGGTAAGATAGTATTTACACCCTTAGAAAGCAGTACCTACAGAAGCTGGTAGTAAGGCAGTTCTCCTCAATAAGTCACAAGAGATTTTTTTTTTAAAATAATTTCAAAGCAAATGGCCCACACACTTTAACAGAGAGATACCCAAATATCTCCCAAGTCCTGAAAGGCTCCTTAAGTTTCACAACACACCCAGCACTAAATCCTTGCAAGATCCGAGTGAAAGGAGAAATTTCATTTTTGCAGACATCAACAGAATTAGGGCAGAGAAAGAATATTTTTGAAAGTTTTTTGCTAATACTGGACAACACATCTGTATGGGGTAACAGCCACACCTAGCACATTCTCTTAAGCTTTTCTCTCAGCTATAGTGCAGGAAATCGGTCAGTGCTGCCAAAGGTTTTGCTCCCCAGACGAGTTACTGACACAGCTGGTTTAAGGGACCACAGTATAGATACTGGACTACAGCTCAACGACGCCTTAACTTCAACACCTGGTGACCTCCCTCAGCGCCGCGTCCCTGGTCTGTAACAGCAAAGTAACGGAATTCAAGTTTTTTAGGAGCCCGAGCTCCACGGAGCCCCATCGAAGCATTCTCAGACAGCTCTGCTGCCTGACCGAAGCCCCTCCTGGGGAGGGTGCCTACGGCCGGAGAGCCGGCAGGGACGGCGGAGCTCACCACGGGCCGCGCTCAGGGGGAGCCTCACCTGGTCGTGCTGCAGGCGGTGCGGCC